CGGTTGAGAACCTCTGCATTAAAATAAATGTCCAAAATCTATTAGATCCATTGCAAGTTTAATAATGTTATTAAAAATATTGGTTCTTATACAGATCTTGGCTATTTTTGTAGTTTGATATGTTTTTTTTATGATTTAATTCATGTTTAATGATTTAAATGTAAAAATAATAATAATAATAATAAATTGTCTCAAGGTTGTTTGACCAACTGCCAGTGATTTTTATTTTTATTTTTTTACATAGGTAGATAAATTTAAAGTTCGGCAAGCTACCTATTGCTGCTTTTTTCAGCAGTGAATCTGAGGTGTGTGCGTCGCCTAGGGTGGTTTGCACTACAGCTAATTCGCAAACAAAACTATGGATTTGCTCAGGACGTATTATGCTTCAGTGTGCACTACATTTATTTTATGTATTTCATTTTCCTGGAGGTCCCTGGTCAGTGTTTAGACTAGCAAAACAAATGCAGCCTAGGAGTGGACCCTCCGGTAGGAAAACCACATCCATCCTTGACTTCCACCTACATGCTCACAGTCTTGCCAGATTCTGTACTTGAAGTGTCAGTTTTGAGGGAATGATCGCACACATGTTGGACTTGTTTAATGCCCTTTCTCAATGGCATTATGGGTGGATGAAACGTGCATTGACGCAATGTGATTAACTGAGATTTTTTAATGGGGAAGGCTTTAGCCTCTTCTGACTTCATATGTCTTAGATATTTCTGTGATTACTCCCCTCCACATTATGAATTTCTGCATGTAGCCCAGCTTAGAGACTTGGAAATGGAAGTAGAGTCAATGTTGTCTGAAACACCGCCCTTGGGTGTGTTTGTCAGGACTACTTGACGATACTTTAAGACCTAAGGATTTGCTCTGCGGTGTGTTAATTCACTTTCATCGTTACTCAGATGTCTGCAAGTGATCATCTTACTCAACTTTTTTTGTTGTGCTTCCGAGGGCACCATTGTGCCAACGCCAACTTTCTCTTGCAGTCTGTTTACCCTTGCTTCCGTTTCGTAGCAACTTAACTTCTTTTATTGTTTATAGAAGTGCTTATATTCTCAAGTTTTCTCTCTGATTGCCCTCCATTGTTCAACTCCAGTGTGCAGGCTATAATTATTCTTTATCTCCTACTTTCTTTGGAAGACCCCTTCAGCCCTGAGGTGGAGGAAGAGGAGGTGGAAATGGGGTCAGGGGGCCCGAAGGCTTTCGGATTCTCATTGTGAGGATTTAGGTTCTGGAGCCGTAAAATTACCCCTCTCTCACAACTCCCCTAAAAGGGAAGGCTGATATTTATTTGTGGTGGTCTAAGTGGATGATTCAGAGAAGGGAGTTAGCAGGATATAGTCTCCCTGCTGCTTCTACTATTCCTCAATAGCAATGTCTTTACGTAGCTAAAGTTAACTAGGCCTATATTTCAGACGCTCTCCACCTAGACCTGCCTCGGTTTTTGTTGTCAAGCTGTAAGTCATATTGGTACTTCACAAGGCATTTCCTCTGTTTCGACCCTGCCACGGTAGCAAATGGAGGCGGAAACAGGGTCAAACCAAGGGGTACAAGGACACAGGTGTTCCCCAAGGTAGCTGTGCAGAGGTTGCCAGCCGTCTTTCTGTCAAACTCGATTAGTCAATCAATCTGTCGTTTCACAGTGCCTGCTGATGGGTCTATACACTCTGGTCAAAAATATCTCATCCGTACAGGCCTGAGTAAATGAGAAATGAAGGGTTTGGTGTGCATCGGTTAAAAAACTGACACATCACCAGCTGGATCCCCTTTTTTATAAGTGGTGTTAGCTAAGGCTAGGATCACAATGATGGTAATACTTAGGGTTAGGTGTTATCTTATGACTTGGATCAGTAACTAACCACCTATAACATGGGCGTAAATTTCATAAATATAAATATCTAGTTTAATCCATCTGCAGATGCTTTCGTGGCAGTCATGGCCACAAAAATAAAAAAAAATACTTTCAAGTTCTTGTTAAACCTAAAACTGAAACTCTACCAGGTCTAACACTTCATGAGAAAGAGAAGTCTACATCAGCAATAAGAGTTTTTTTTTCTTTCTATTTGAGGTCAGTACTATGCAAAAATCGTATCTTTCTTTGAAGTGTGTGTGCTGTGACGACCTTGAAATGTCTTTTCTTTTCCAATTCTCAGCTTACAAACACACAGACGCACACACAAAAAAAAGACATACTTCTGTACACTGTGGGAAGAGTGCACATTCTGCCTACTTCTCTCTCTTTCTCTTTAAATGTGTGGCTAGTTTTAACCCCGCTGGCCATGAGATCCATTTTAGTTTTGTACTATAAGTTTCGTCTCAAGTTTAACTTTTCCCAGATTAGCTTTCAAATACCTTTAAGTCTTGAACTTAGCATTTAAACACTTGCCCATACTTGTTAAACATTCATGACCGATGTTACCAACGGGCCTGTGCTCAAACCAGTTTTTCAACTTTTCTTAAAAGGGCTAACAAATACCCTTATCAGTATGAAGCTGATGCCTGATCAGTAATTTACCTTAAACTCTTCAAAATTGCCGGTTACTGTCATATTGGCAATTCCATGAAACTGGCTCCTTTTACAAAAAAGGATTGTTTGAAAACATGATTTTTAAAATGCATTTTATATGATTTGAAAAGAAAAAATCTATCAAACAATGTGTTTAAGTGTAAATCAATCGATATATTATATATATATATATATATATATATATATATATATATATATATATATATATATATATATATATATATAATTGATACTTTGTAAGTAATCTCAATGTAGGAATAGTCAGAAAGGTCACAGGGTTGATCATTTTTCATTTTAATTTGATATTACAAGTGTTCAAGGTCATGGGACTACAACGTTCTTCTTAGATAATTTAATACTGATATTACTACAAACATGCACTTTTTAATCATCACTTGTTTACTATACAAACTTATGGTAACAGGGTTGACATTAAGCTGACAAACAACAAAACATAAGATGAAATACTAAAGTAGGCTTTAAATTCTCCTTGAAAGTTAAATTCTTGAAATGAAATTGTATTTTTTATATATTTATATTAGGGACACAATGACACCCATTTGATCAAATAACCTGTACTTTTTTCCCCTCCTGCATAATTCCCAACTTTTATGGTGGCGTGATTAAGCACAGTAGTTCAGAGTTACTTCCTCTTTGCTAAGGTCTCTCTGTAGGAGGTAATTACCTCTTTTGCCAGTCATAAATAAGAGAGGGAGAAGGGAAAGAGGGAGGTGAAGCTATGTGGTTTAGTATATGTTTGTGCAGGAAGCGAGGCCAACAGGACAAAACAGCACCTGACGGCGAGGAGAAATATATCTACTCTTGGTCTTTTACGACAGGTTTGTTAAAGACAACAGAAGTCATGGACCCTCCAGAGACACGTTTGCCTCAGAGTTATTAACGGGTCAGGAAAGCTTCTGTTATGAATGGCCTCTGTAGAGCTAAACAGGAATTGAAAGTGTTCATGGATGCATGGCCCTTCTGAGGAAGCATAACAGGCTGGAAATGTAAGAAAAGCCGGTTATCTGGTCAGGTGTTAAGGAAGTGAAGACAAAGAAAATATGAATGAAAAGCACGGAGTGAGGTAAAGGGGGAAGTTAAACAAAAGTATGAGTAATGCCACGTGCAAGAAAGCGAGACATAGAGAAAAGGAAGGGCAAGAAGGAGGGGTTTGAGTGTTGACACATCATTCTCAGCTGGAGGGGGTAAGAGAAGGTCACCAGGGAGACAAAAGACAAGGGGCCTGCCAAAACAAGACATTTGACCGTGGGGCATGCCGTATTTTGGGTGATCTAGAGAGACAAAACCACTATTGTTTTAACTAGGGGCAATGGTTGCATCCTCTACGTGACAGATACCTTCAAACTCCTGAAAGCCATTGCTGGAAAAAATAGAAAACCCATTCGTTTACTACTAATTGCCTGCCTGGTTTATTGTAGCTTAATTCAAGTGCCATCATTGTGGGCTCACTCAGACTGGATCCCACATTGTTTCCATTAATAGGTGCTTGAGGCTGTCACCGAGATGTTTACCAATGAGAAATAATTAGGATGGAGTGGTGTGGGAGGGTTGGCAGTCAGGATCAGTGTCGGGCGGGGGGTATTGGGGGGTTCTACTATCATTACAAATGCAGGGAAAGTCTACATCCGGAGCTCTTGAAGACCTAATGCTGCCTGTAAACACCGCTGCTATGCTTGTAATTAGTTCTGTTTGTCGACGAAGGCAGTGTTTGAAGTACTCTTGTTCAATGGGCATGCTAGCTATTTGGACGCACTCACGTAGCGTGAAAGCCAGAGTCGAGTCAATGAGGAGTTGTCACTTCAGCTCGGGTTGTCAATTTTCACGACGCATTGTCGATTGTTGTTCAAATTAATGGTCAATTTATCAGTTAATTGTGAATACAAAAACACATATGGAAGACTAGATAGCATGTGCGTGTAGTCCATGTTTTTACTATAATTTAATTAAATAATACATTATTAGTCTGCTGTGTTTTAATTTACTAAGTATACATTTAATGTCAAGATAGTTTATAAAAAAACATATTTTAAAAAGTAGAAGAGTGCAAAGAGTGCAACGTTCCAACCAGTCAGGTCTTCATCAGGCATACAATCTGGTTTGTCTGAGCTTAAGTTCATGTTCAGTGTACAAACATCCTTTCTTTGTTTCTGCTTTTTTTTTTTTTTTTTTTGCTATCTAAGGCCAATTCTGCGTTTTGGATGTGCACACCTATTTTGTATTTTATTAATTTAATTTACCATCAATTTATTAGCATCAGCTAATAATGTTTATAGAGAAAATATGACTCTTTCCCCAATACAACGTACTTGATCATAAAATATTTCCTACATTCATTTTGACTTTGAACTTAAATTATGCCACATAGTGAGTATAGTGAATTAATCAATTGTGGTTCTCAGCTCTGATTGGTTGACTTGTTTGTAACGTCCCTTTTCCTGTCTTTCTGCAGCGGGGAACGGGCAGTCGGTGCAGACGGACCCCAGCAAGTCTGGATTTGTGGGTGATACGGTCGAGCTGCGATGTCTCTTCATCAACGGCAAGCCACCAGTGAAGATCTCTCAGGTCACCTGGCAAAAGCTGATAAATGGCAGCAAACAAAACGTGGCCACCGCCAACCCAGCCTTGGGAGTATCTGTGCTGCCCCCTTTCAAAGACCGTGTGAGCTTCAAGCACCCTGCTGTGCGCCAGAGGACCCCTTCTTCTCTTGAGGATACCACCATTGTGTTCACCAACCTACGGCTCTCTGATGAAGCGGCCTACATCTGCGAGTACACCACATTCCCAGCAGGCAACAGGGAGAATATGGTCAACCTCACCGTCTTTGGTAAGACCACCACACTGGCAGTTAAGACCATACATATATATATATATATAGTTCTGTTCTAATGTGAAAAGAGCTCATTCACAAACAGACGATCAATGGGCCTCATTCTTCAAACATGAGCAGAACAAATTTCTGTCATTCATAAAATCATTCTGTAAATTGTCACATTCATTGTGACAATGGGCCTCATTCACAAATAACATGCGTGTAATTTGTTATTTATTAAACACATTTCTATTCAATGCAAAAATTTGTGTAGTTTAGTTATACGTACAGTTTACACATTGAATGGTACAATTTATGTAAGAATGTATTTTCAAGAATGATTTACACAAAAACTTGCAATGAATGCAAACCATTTGCACTAGAATGGTTTTATGAATTTACACAAAAAAAATCTCATTGAATGTGACTGAAATGTGTTGGAAATTTCCGTAAGAATGTTTTGCGAACAGTTTACGACTCAAGAGTAAATTGTGCATAACCATTTATTTTATATACAATGCTGCAATTTGTATGCAAATAACGGTACATACGATTTACACAGAAATCCACATTGAAAAAAACGTTTTTTTTACTCAAGAATGATTTTATGAATGGTTCCAAAACGAGCAAATTCACATTAAATGTGACAGTTTACACTATAATTGTTTTGTGAACAATTTACACTAAAATGATAATTTAATGCAAAAAAAAAATATATGTAAGTTGTTTGTAAACACTTTTGGTATTGAATGCTACAAGTTGTATACGATTATTCGTGCATAAACTGCAGAATTCAGTGTGGATTTATATGGAAATTGTATGTAAGTATTTTTATGTTCGATTTTTTTTTTCTTTTTTTTTTTTGTCGGATCAAAAGTGACATTTTACAAAAGAATATTACAAATGGTTTACACAAATTAATTCTGCTCATGTTTCATGAATGAGTTTCATGTAAGAACTTATAATTCAGTCACTTGAAATTATTCATCCAATTGAATGAATTCTTATAGTTAATCGACTGTAAGTAAGAACACGTTTACTCTGCAGCTGAAGAGGAAGCTTTAGCACTGAGCAGCAAGTTCTTTACACACATATAACACCATGGATGGACAGGCAAGAAATAGCCAGGTGTCATTTTCTTGAATATTTTTAGCACTCAGTCTCAGCCCTGACAAGGTGTTGGTTAGCAGGTATAAGGTGTAAATAGATGTTGTTTCAGCAATATTTTATTCATAACCCTATAAGCCCTTGAGAAAAAAATTATCTTTGTCCTTGACTGCTTCAGGTCTTGTGTGTAATGTGCTTGAACCTTCCATACACTTGAAATGTATTGATCAGTGTTCACCACAACAGAAAGAGCTGCGTCCAACTCTGCTGTTTTAGAGGACCTGCAGATATAATGTATTCATACATGTTTTCGTTAATAGCTGCACACACAGGTAAATATAGGCTATCATTTCAGGCTATCAGTCCGAGTTGAAAGGCCGAAAGCACCATTAAAATAGTCCATACAACTGTTTGCAAACCCCTGGGGTTTGTGAGTTGATGAAAAGCTAATGGTCTGGTTTCACAGACAGGGCTTAGATTAAGCCAGGATTAAGCCTTAGTTCAATTGGGACATTTAAGTAGCTTTTTAGGGGCAGTCTAATGGTTAGCGAGTCCGACTGGTAACCCAAAGGTTGCTGGTTTGAAATGTCAGTGCCAGTTGCTTTCAGCTAAAATGTCTCAAACATGTATTTTAGTCTGGGACTAGGCTTAAACCTTGTCTGTGAAACCGGGGAAATATGTAAATCATAAAAATCATCAACATCAGAGAATCTTGAACATGCATATCTGTTGTTAAATTATTAAAATGTTAACTTGAAATCTCAGGAAGTACTTCAAGTAAATATTTGAGGTCAAAGGGGTTTGGCTGACAAAAAAATAAATAAAAAAATTGGAATCCCAGCAATAGATTATATCGATCCATCCATCATATGACTTCTGAGGATTTTGAATATAGTGCACAACAGGGCTACTTTTATGGTGCCTTTTTGAGTTTGTGTAAAAGACAGCTGTGCGTGTAAACCTCACTCCCCTGGCCTCAAGTGGCACCTAGCAACTGTCGCTAGTGGCTGCGGTCTTTAGCGTTACAAGTTGTATAAAATGAGTCATACATACAATTTCCATAGATACCCATACTGAATTCTGCAGTTTTTGTAAGTATTTTTATGTAGGTTTTTTTCCGTAAAAAGTTGCTGTTACTAAGGTCATTATAGGTTTGCATTTTAAAATTAGTTTTTATTTTAATATCATTTTCAAATTTCCTTTAGATTTAGTTTCAGTTTTAGTAATTATAGTTTAGCAGAGTTAACAGAATATTTACCACCCAAAGACATTTAATTTCAGCAACGTTTAGTGTTTGCAGTTTACAGTTAACTTTCGTGGAAACCTCTTAATAATAAAAATAAAATAATTGTTTGAGATTGCAACCTAAAAGTATAAAAGTAAAAATGATTCATATTAAAGATGAAATCTTGTTAACCATGTGGTGTAAAAAAAAAAAAAAAAAAAAATTATTAGTTATTTCAATGATTAATCCTTTTAAATATTATTCTTGTATTGATCCATTTATGCTTTTTGTCTATTGTAAGTTTTAATATCATATATTCATACTTGGTTATAGTCATATCCATGTGTTCTAAAGAGGATGTGAGCATATTAATCACGAAAATAAGTATTATTTTATTTCAGTTCATTTTTCAGTAAGTGTTGTTAGTTTTGTTTCCGTTTTAGTTTTTCATTTCTGTTGAATTTTCTATTTTATTTCAGTTTACGAAAATGTTTTTTGACCAATAGTTTCAGTCGTAGTTTCAGTTTTCGTTTACGAAAATAACCTTGGCTGTTACGACCTCCGTCTACTGACTAGCCAATAAAAATACAACATGAAATTGCGCACTGATCAATGCTACAGTAAATGGCACTAAAACTTACAACTAATCACCTCAAGCTCCATTCACAAAATTGGCATGCCAAGTTAACCTCTTTTCCCTAGCCATGACCGCATCCATATCCTCCTCTTTTGCTTCCTCCTCTTTTTTTCAGCACACATAAAAACCACAGTTGCCAAAGAGCGATTCATCTTGCTCTATTTGTTTATCACTAGCGCATGCTGATGATGTTTATGCTAACTTGCGTCGTAGCCTAGGATTCAATAGGTGTCATCTACACACGTGTCGTTCCCAGGTTTGTAGATCCGTTCTAAATCCGATAGGATTGCAGACATATCACAGTCTGTAGGAGGCATTAGCTGCACAGGTTAGAAAAAAACAACATGATGTATGTGTGTGTGTGTGTGTGTGTGTGTGTGTGTGTGTGTGTGTGTGTGTGTGTGTTGGAGTGCAAGAGAGGAGTATCTCGTTAGAGAGGTGGGTTATGCTCCCACTGATTGCAGATCTAATTAGAAATGAAGTGTTGATATGTTTTCCATTAAACCAGCAAAGGGAGCTGCTTGGCTCAAGTACAGGGTGTTTTTTTTTTTTTCTTCACTGATGTGGCTTGTTAACTCCCAAGCCCATTTTGTATATCACGTTCACATGCGTCCTCTGAGAATGCTGGCATTGCAGTAAGAGCGAGCAACCTGAATGGAGATAACCAGCTCAGTGCTTTTCAAAGAGCCTCTTCATGTCATATCAACCCTCGCCACAAACCTCAGACCCACTATCAGCACTCTTTGACACGCACTCACATAAACACACATCTTCCCGTTTGATGCAGGCCTCTTTAATTGCTAATTGGCAGCTCATAACGGATCGAGATTGGATGACTTTGGGCACCGTGAGAAATGAGTGGTTTCTACATCTGTTTGAGTGCTTGACTGATGCTTTTGCTTTGAACACGGGGTACGGGGGAAAAAGAAATTAGTGAACCGCTTGATTCGTACTGACGGGAAGAAAACGACTTTTCAGAACATCAAGATTAGTGTTAAAGGGAGTGGATATATTTTTTTTTTCTCAACTCCCAAGGGCATCTTTGTTGCTCCTGTTCACACAGTATTTTAGTATCTTCTACAATGTTCCTTTTCCCGTTTTATTTACTGTTTATGTTCTTCTTTTATCCAGCACGGCCAGTGACCAAGATGTCGTTGACTTCACCCACCATCGTGGCAAGGACTCCGAAACGCAAGATGCCCGTGGCCACCTGCATGTCGGCTAACGGCAAGCCTCCCAGCGTCATCAAATGGGACACCACTCTGAAGGGAGAGGCCACGTTTCAGGAAACGCGTAATCCGAATGGCACTGTGACCGTGCGCAGCAACTACATCGTGTTGCCCAGCCGCGAGACCCACCGACAAAAGCTGACCTGCATCGTCACTTACCGCGCAGAACGCTTTACCGACAGCGTCATACTCAACGTTCAGTGTAAGAACAGTGTTTTTCTTCATATCTTTCCAACTCCAGCAGAAATGATGCGTCATTGATAGATTTACAGTGATACACACATACTGTAGTTTGGAATAATGTATATTTTTTCAAGTCTCTTATGCTCACCAAGGCTGCATTTATTTATTTATTTATTTATAACCAAGTAATATTGTGAAATATTATTACAATTTGAATTTTTTAATATATTTTAAAATTCATTTTATTCCTGTGATGGCAAAGCTGCATTTTCAGCATCATTACTCCAGTCTTCAGTGTCACACGATCCTTCAGAAATCATTATAATATGCTGATTTGTCGCTCTACAAATATTTATTATCAATGTTGAAAACGTTTCTACTGCTTAATATTTTTTTGTGGAAACAGTGATACATGAAAATCATTCAAAAGATGGGGGGGGGTTATGATTAAACTTTAAACTTTTATTCAGCAAAGCCACATTAATTTGATCAAAAGTGACAGTTAAGTCAAGTAAAGATTATTAAATGCTGGTCTTTTGAACTTTAACTATCAAAGAATCCTGTGAATTCAAAGAATTTAATGTTTTTTTAAACCAATAAGCACTAATAGTAACTGAGCACCAAATCAGCATATTTAAATGATTTCTGATCATGTGACACTGAAGACTGGAGTACTGATGCTGAAAATGCATCGCTGAAATAAACTACAATATATTCAAATAGAAAACTGCACAATAAATGCAGCCTTGGTGAGCATACGAGACTTCTTTCAAAATATGACAAAAACGTCTTAATAATTTCAACCTTTTGACTGGTTTTACATATATTATATTGTACATCACAAATTGACATAAATGTATGTTATACAATATTTGAATCCAATTAATGACACACTTATATAAAACCCCACTGGAATGTCTAAAAATGTAAGGTTAAGTTAGTGTTCATGCTGCACTGTTGCGCAAGTTCTGCGGAGGAGGTTCGGAGCAGGAAGAGATGTGTCACTGGCCTGTCTCAGCCGCTGTTGTTATCAGCTATTGTTTAGGGCAGTTTAGAGCAGTATTTCAGCCCCCATGAAGCCCACTGATAGAGGAAATCCACCCATTCTCCCACACTACGCTATAGAATACAGTCATGGTTTTGAATTGTTGGCACCCCTGGTAAATATGATCAAAACTGGCTGTAAAAAATAAATCTGCATTGTTTATCCTTTTGATCTTTCATTAAAAAAAAATTGGCAAAATTCTAACCTTTCATTGACGTAAAAGAATTGAAAGTGGGGGGGAAATCACATTATGATTTTTTTTTTCTCTCCAAAACACGTTGGCCACAATTATATTATTGCGAGTAAAATAGCTCTGAAGTATATTCCCATTAATATTTACCTTTTTATAGCACACCCGGGTGACTATGAACTTGGAATTGTCCAGCCATGACTTCTTGTTTCACAGGAGTTTAAATATAAGGAAACACAAAGGCCAAATCCCCTTAATCATCCATCACAATGAGTAAAACCAAAGAATATAGTTCTGATGTGCATCAAAAGATCGTTGAGCATCACAAAATAGAAAGTGGCTGTAAGAAAATAGCTAAAGAATTGAAAATCCCCATTTTGACCATCAGGGCAATAATTAAGAAGTTTCAATTAACTAAAGATGTTAGGAATCTGCCAGGAAGAGGACGTGTGTCTATATTGCCTTAATGGATGGTGAGGAGGAAAGTTTGAGTGGCCAAAGACTCTTCAAGGATCACAGATGAAGAATTGCAGAGATCAGTTGAGTCTTTGGGGTAACAAAGCCTATAAAATAAAAATCAAACAACCCCTACATCACCACATGTTTTTTGGGAGGGTTTCAAGAAAAATCCTCCTCGCTCATCCAAAAACAAACTCCAGCAAATTCAGTTGTCAGACACGGCTGGATCTTCAAACGGGACAGGCTTCTGTGGTCAGATGAAACTAAAAAAAGAGCTTTTTGGCAGCAAACACGCTAGATGGGTTTGGTGCACACAAGGATAAAAAGTACCCCATGTGTACAATTTAATAATCCGTTGGATCTTTAATGTTGTGGGCATATTTTTCTGCTGGAGGTCCTGGACTTCTTGTTCAGATACATGGCATCGTGGATTCTATCAAATATCAACAGATAAAAAATCAAAACCTGACGGCTTCTGCTAGAAATCTTATAATGGGCCGTGGTTGGATCTTCCATCAGGACAGCAATCCAAAACAAACATCAAAATCAACACAAAAATTAGTTACGGAGCACAAAATGAAGCTTCTGCCATGACTGTCCCAGTTCCCTGACCTGATTAGTGGAGTGAACTGAAGAGAAGTGCCAGTATGGATCTGGGAATCTGCAGGATCTGGAGAGGTTCTGTCTGGAGGAATGGTCTCTGATCTCAGGTCAGGTGTTCTCCAAACTCATCAGGCATTATAGGAGAAAACTCAGAGCTGTTATCTTGGCAAAAGGAGATTGCAAAAAGTATTTAATAAAAGGGTGCCAATAATTGTGGCCAACGTGTTTTGGAGAAAAAAAAATATTTCATAATGTGATTTCCCCCCCACTTTCAATTCTTTTACGTCAATGAAAGGTTAGAATTTTGCCAATTTTTTTAATGAAAGATCAAAAGGATAAACAATGCAGATTTATTTTTTACAGCCAGTTTTGATCATATTTACCAGGGGTGCCATCAATTCTGACCATGACTGTATATTGTTCTTGTGGTGCGCCTGTGTGAAAGGCCATGTTTAGAGTGACAGTAAGTTCACCGAGAATCACTCGTCCTGATTCTTGATTTACTTCAAGAGTGTTTTGTTAATCTAGTTACCCTTTGGTATAACATTTCCAAATTGAATTTCCTGAGCCTTATACATGCTCATAAAAGCAATTAAGAATAAATCTGAAGAGACATAGAAAATCACTGACCGGTACCATCAAGTATGCAGTGCATTTGAATACCGTCATTAATAGAAAAAAATTGTGCTGTAATGAATTGAAATGTGGCATTTAGCTGAGGTTCTTATCCAATTAGGCCAATTTCTGGAAAAGTTGCCCTGGAGTAGCTTGCGGCTAAGTGGGTAGCTAAAGGGCACAGTGGTGGTTGTAGTCTCAGTAACCCTTCATGTGTTGGCTCTCCTCCCAATCGCTTAAGAAATAAACTCTTGACCTTTCAGCTATGAGCCCAGATCGTTAATCAGTATTATGACTTGCACTCATCGTCAAGTCACGTGACCCAGAACAGCCACCTGAGCCCCTGCCTGAAGACGCTCTTTTGCTTCTTTTTTTGTGTGCAGATGAGCCGGAGGTTAAAATCGAGGGCTTTGACGGGAACTGGTACCTGAATCGTCCAAACGTGCAGCTCACGTGCAACGCAGACGCCAACCCACCCGTCACCGTCTACCAGTGGAAACTGTGAGTTATTCTCTCCTGACCTACTAATCCACATTACGAACAATCACCTTGTTGTCTCAGCTTATTAATATAATTGGGATGGATGCGTAATGTTTATTGAGTGAAAAGCATAGTGAGATTTGAAACCTTTCTTTTTATGTATTTAATCTTTTTTTTTTCAAATACACATTACAGTCATTCGGTTATGCTAAGTTTGCACACACCTACTCATGTTTCATTACTGCTTTTCTCCAGAGTTTGACTGTAAAGTAATTGTTTAATTATTAAATAACAAAAAACGGATACAAGTTAAACGAATACATTCTTTTATTTGACTTTTTAACTGTGATAAGAGTTGACATGTATGTTGAACACGTGTTGCGTGATTTTCCTTCGCTTCTAATCCATCCCTTTAAAAAATAAGTTGAAGTGCATCATTTATATTGGTGTACAACACTAATGTCAAGCATTTACTCATAAGCCTTTACATCAAAAGCTTTCTTTAAAGATCATGACGATCAGTGTGTCCAAACGTTTGACTTCTTGTGAATGACGGCATCATTAAACTAAATGAACGATGACTGATGTTTGAAGAGCACTCCTCTGAAATATTCAGTTTACTGTAATACTACATGACAGCTTAGATGTGTTATGAGTGATAACAGAATCATTTCCTTCAGTAAACTACGACTTCATTCATTGGTGGTTAGCACTCAATTGAGATAAATAAAGACGTTTACAATGGCTCTATTCAGAAATACCGGAGTCATTGATAACCCTTCAAACAAGATCAAACATGAGAAAATAAGCTACACTTTGTACTTCTGCATGTTTACCTTACCAACATACTGGTTTGGAAGAACAGTGAAAGAGATATACAGCAAGATTGAGTCTTGTGATGGTGATTGTTGTCGAGTTTCTGGTGCTACGGGTTTGGATGCAAACTATGTTGGCAGAAGATGACATCATTGCTTTGCCTACCAAATGAATATGATGACTGCACAGTCTCAGCTCTGTTTTGATAACCTTTCTGTGGACAATGCTGGTGTTTATGTGAGGTCAAGGCTGTAGCAACCATTGATCAATCATTTCAACTTGTATTAATCATTATACATTAATACAAGGTATAGTTTAGTAGTTCCAAACCTGCTCCAACACGCGTACCTGTAGTTTTGAACTAAGCCTGAAGGACTCAGGTGAAGGGGTGAGCGGGGCACAACCTAACTAGTTGTAACACACTTGTTTTAAATACTTCAACACATGCCAGCATGATGAAACTTAGTGTATTTATTAGTTACCATATCAACACTATATAGAGAATATACTTAAATATACTATGGAAGTCACTGAAGTACAGCAACTGTTTGGTTAGCCACATTCTTCCAAATAACTTTTATATTTTCAACAGAAGAAAGAAACTTGAGAGAGTAAATGATGACAATTTAAATTTTTGGGAGAACTATCCCGTTAATGTTAATAAAACAACAAAACACAGAGGAAATCACTCACTGCTCTTGACTGAGAACTTTAATAGAAGCTTTAATAAGCTTTTTTTGCACTTAAAAAAATACAAATATATCGGTATCGGCATCGGGCAAAATTAGTTTGAAAATATCGGCTTATCGAATATTGGCCAAAATCCTATATCGTGCATCCCTAGTTTTGAACTATGCTGTATAGCTGTGTTTTGCAGTGTGTTTGCCAAACAATTTTTAAAAGATCATTTTTTTTATACGAAAAAGTTATTAAATGTAATTTATTGACAAAATATTTGAGATTGCCTAGGATCATTTTTTGATTAGATCAGATAACATTTTAAGCTGGCATATTGTCATGTTACAACGTGCCCCTCACATGTCACATTTGTCACATTTCACTTCCATTATTTCGGGCTATATCAAGAAAAAAAGTATACACTGTATTAACTATAGACATGTGTGAAATGAATGCAGGAAGAAAAGAAAAATACTCTGAACCCTAAGTAGGTTTACACAAACTGAGAAAGTCAAAAAGGGTTAGGTTGTGCCACGCTTTCCCCTATTTGATTAGGGTTGAAGCTAAACTCTTCAGGGCTGTGGCCCTCCAGGAACTTAATTTTGCACCCCTGTCATACAGTGTCGTGCTCTCTTTTTTGTCAGTGTTTGATTTTGCAAATGGACACATTTCTGTTTAGCCGAAGGGAGCAGAGATGCCTCGTACTTGTGTAAGCAGTGCAGATAACTTAAAATGGAGGCAATGCTTGGAGACTATTGCTGGACAGTGACAAGAGATGCTCCATTTATTAATACAAGAGACAAGCCAAGAAGCGCCAAGTAGACACTGAATTAGACTAAACTATGCACATATTAGTTTGTGTGCCTTTTGTTTCATAATAAATCTGATTTATATATCCCTTTTGCTGATTTTTAAAGTCTTACACAAACAGGGCAGGTACTGATCTACACAATATACATAGATGGCGACACGCGATTATTCTATTTTAGAAACGGTTTCTATTTCTGCGACGTTGCGGCTGGAAAAAACAACAGAAAATATGATAATCTCAGGTACTGTTTATGTGCTTTATGTAATGTTAAAAGCATCCGTGTGAGTTTAAATATAATTGTGTGTGTGTTTTTATAGCCGTACTGAAAGCATCTCACTTCAGATCTTCAAAATAGATTTAAGTGAACAAGAACGTTCAAACTGTCAACTCATTGTTAACAGACAAGTGTATTCTATGACAACGATTGTTTCAGTAACTCGGTATGCATTTTTAATAATGTTAAAATGGTGTAATATTCATGAATTAGATTATGTACTTATCCATTTCGTTGCGAGTGCCGGGAGCTTGCCGAGAGAGCCCGCCCACGCGCTCTTCTGATTGGTGATTTGCATCGCATCTGGTTTGGACACGGTGTGAGACTCGAGACCGGTGTGGCCCGAAGGTTACACTCATTAGCACTCGCGCCACCTGTCCTGCTTGCCACCCAGTTGTTTTAATTGTCATAATTTAATTCAGCACATCAAAATGCTTAAGAAACAGCACATTTGTGTCTCTGAAGCAGACGACTTTTAGAAAATTAGAGAGCAGTGCAATTGTTAGTTATCCATTTTAAAAGGCTGTTGGCAGATTTTAGAACTTACACACTTTGGGCAAATGGACTCGGCAAGCTGATGGCGATTAATTGGCCTGACCTATCAGCCTATCACTAGTTACATCTCGTAATTAATATTCATGAGACAAGCTGATAAGGCTTCTAATGTGTTGTTCCAGATTGTTCCTGCGCCCCTGGGTCAGGTCAACTTTGTAATATGACCAATATAACCTTCTGGTTGAACTCCCCAGTGCAGCATTTTTATTCAGTGCCACGCCGTATGCGCCACAGTTATATGCCAATTAGCACGGCAAAAGGCCCCGTCATTCATCACCCAGCTGATTTCCATGAATGCGCGTGTAAACGCGAACAATACCGAACACCACCAACAACGTTGGAAAACATTGGACGAGCTAGTCGTGTGTTACGGTTAAAAATGGAGGAATTATGCAGCAAAAACTGAGAGATAAATGTGGCAATTTGTTCTGTAATTAGGCAGTGAAAGCTGGGAAAGGAAAACATGTCACCGGACTTCAGCTGTGGTGGATTAATAGCTGGCAATGCCCAGGGTACACTGCCTGTGTGGACCGGGGTGAGTTTTAATGAGAGAGGACAAGAGAGAGAGAGGAAAGCGCTGAGCATTCTGGGCTATTCAGGGTATCAAAGGACACATATACAGCAGCCAACTCTGTGAAGAGGGACTCACGGATGGTGCTAAGGTCTTCTTGAGGCATTTTTATTAGTAATTGGTATGCTGAGACTGGAAGTATCATAAAAGAGAAGAAAAGGAAGGGATGAGATGAGACGAGGAGAAAAAACGGGCAGTTTTGAGGTACAAGACAATGGGAATGGGAGGGAAGTTCAACATTTGGGGGGAGAAAGTTTGGTCCTTGTCAGTGCAGAAGTTGTCGCCACGGTGTAGGGTTTTGTTGTCGGTTGCCATGCCATTGATAAAATGCTCTGATTGATTTTTTCTGATGTGGTTTGCTTATTGCAGGTCCAAATCAAAGTAATGTCATTGTGTGCTTTTCATTCATGTGAATCAATATATTTTGAACACAAACACTCGATGACTCAACTCACTAAAAGCTTCTGCGTAATTATCAAACAGCACTAAAAAGAGCAAGAATATTAGTCTCATTCAAACTGTGGGTGTTGATATAAAAGCGAGAAGATAAACAATGGGAGAAAAAGGTAAGATAGAAGAGAATGGTGTGATTACAGAGCGAGGCGGAGGAGAAGACAGTGATGGGTTGAGACGCGGGCTCCGGCGTGACAGATAAGAGGGGACGGCCACAGCAGCAGTGCGGAGCGGACACCAAATGTGTTCTGAAGGGTCCCCTGGGCGCTACACTGGAGGTCATCACCACGCTGTTGCAGAACATTTCAATCCAGAACAACTACGGAGGAACACACACAAGCAATAGCAGTTCAATTACAAATGTGCGGAAGTCTGTTACGTTGTATAAACGCTGCATATTTTACGTTATGCATAAACATTACACACATGCCGTTCTGAAAGGGAACAGAGAAAAACACTGGGAGGAACATTCAGGTCTGTGTGAAGTGTGGCATTTCTGCACCACCAGATGGAATTTAAAAAATCACTTGGTTGAACAATGGTTGATGAACACGCTATTGGTTGAGCTGCCGTTGCTATGTGTCAGGCTGGTCGGATTCTTAAAGGGGTCATATAATGCCATTTTTGTACAAGCTAATATGATTCTTTAGGGTCTAAATTAAAAGTTTGTAATATACTTTAATTAAAAATTATCATTAGTATTGTAAGAAAACACTTATTTTACCTGGTCAAAAACAGCTCTGTTTTCAGCACGCCGTTTCAGTGTATATGACTTTAAATGATAATGAGCTTTGCTCACCCCGCCTCTCTGTTCTGTGCGTACACCATTTGTAACACAATAACACAATAACCATAACGCGTTGTTCAGTATAAACGTGGGATTATTAATTATATTGAGAACGTCATACATAGAAAACATGTGTAATGTACCCTGAGTGTAAACCTTAGACGCATTCATTGTGAAGCGTGCAGCTAGCGATTTGCAAAGATTAATATAAATATTAATATAAAGTTTAATAAAACGTTACACTCACTTCAGTTCTTCTGGAGGTTCGTCAGGAACACGAATATCTGGTACCGATCCTTTTTTCAGGAGCAGCTTCTTAGCAAAACCAGCTCATACTGACCCTCGTTTATAAAGCAGTCTGGTGAGAAATGATTCGCGCAAACATGAAAGCATTGACGTTGCTCGTGGGGAATATTCCCTTCGAAAACAAACTCAGCCACTGCGTCTTCAGCGGTTCGGATTTAGGAACATTAAAATGACTGCTGTGTTCGTTATTACACCCAAGAACAGAACACCACAATCGCTTAGACGCCATTCTGCTCATAGACAGTGCTCCAGACCAGCATATCAACAATGACCGCGCTGGTCCGCGCGGACTATGATTGACAGCTCCCTCACGAGCGAGGGTGGGTCTGTGTTGAAACGCTGCTGTCAATCAACAATTGTGGGAGGGGCTTCCGAGCGTGTGACGTCACACGGTCGAACGGCTCGATTTGAGGCAGGGGAAAACATATAAGGAGATTAAAAAAAAAACCACTGGATGGATTTTTATCATTTTATGATGGTTGTGTACAGGCACTGCCAACACACATTTCAGTACAATCAATTTGTAAAAGTGCAAGTACCATTATATGACCCCTTTAAATAAACAGATTCATGTTTTGAAAGAGCCACTGTTTACTCTTTTCAGTCAACCCACAAATAGTCTCTGGATACAAGGTTACAAGAAAGTATTTGAACTCAGAGAGAGAAAAAAAAGACACTTTAGCATTAAAGTCTGAATGAAATAAATTGAAACCTATTTGCTCTTTGAGCGCACATTGCGAATCTTGTTTTGAACAATCAATCCGCGCAAGGTAATCACATAATCTTTAGTCAAATGGATTTCTATCTCCGATTGGGTTAAACGTTCTTAACCACTTCTATTTAGCCGTCAGTCAGTCTGCTGCGAGCAAGAGATGACGAGGAGGTACGCTAAAATCAATCCTCTCCATCTATTTTACCTCATTCAATGTTCAGTTTCATCTGGAAATACGTTACAGTACTGAAGTAAAGTCTCAACTTCTGCTTCACTCAGACTTTAAGAAATATAGTCTTAGCCTTAAAGGAGTCACAATCTGTTTGGCAACCACTTGATGCATTTTGTACAAAAATGGAATGTGCTTTCTTGGTCTGGCAAGCTCTAATCTGATTGTCTGGCTTGACACAACTAATATGCAACAATTTCAGATAAACTTGCCTTAAAACTGTGATTGGTCGCTTTACATTTTAGTCTTTTCCTGTCCAAGTAGGTGCTTCTTGGCTGAAATAAGCAACCATTTGAGCCAGACTTTATGCCGATATTCAAAAGTCTGGCTAAGCACGACTATACGAAATATAACTGAACTAAATTTCAGGTTTCACCTTGAATTATGATTCAAGTACTCATACGCAGTCTCCCTCTCGCACACACTTTCAGTTTCAGACTTGCGTTAATTTCCCAGCTATCAAAACATGCCCGAGAGATTCTTACCATAAATATATCATAAAGTGAGCAGAACAGTCATAAACACTCACGCTCAAGAGTTTATCTTCAGACAGCTCATTGTGACAAATTTCCTTATCTATCTCCCCTCCCGTCTTCCGTCTGCAGGATCTTATCAGATTGCTTTGCAGCAGTCAGCATTTAGAGAAACACCTTATACCTTCTGCATTTTTGGGGCTGAAAGCTGTCTCACAGGCCCTGTCCTGAACCGGGTTATGAATATTATAGCAACAGTTTTTAAAGGAGGCAGACGACTTCTGCTTCAAGATTAAAAGCATTTGAAAAACAATACAACCCAAGCCCAAGTTAGGTTTTGCGTGAAATTGTCTGAGGATCGAGGCAGTGGTGTGTGTGTGTGTGTGTGTGTGTGTGTGTGTTATTGTTGAGGGTTGTAAGTTTTGTAATTAAACTTTAGTAGTCATTGCTCTGCTTTGTGTCATGTCTGACAACACAACTTAACCATGGTAAAATCACTGTTATGAAACCAACAGCAGCAATGTGATGTGTGTTACTACTAATAACCACAATTAATGATAGCATACTATAATTATACTGAATTACTATTACATTACTGCTTTTTCATTTTATTTTGGCGAGGAACGTTTGAATTTCTCTATTGTAATTGATCTGCAAATATGAAAGTTTTTTTTTTCTTTTCAGAACTTATAAATTTGGTAATTTCAACGTCTTTGGCGTTATCTGTTCTGTGTTACATATTTTTACCGATTTATGCCATCCTACCACAACTATTTTTGACCAGGGACACGACGTTGCCGTTTGCTGTGAAGGTTCCTGGTTGAAAGGTCCTTATAAAGGACACCACCAGTTTTCCAGACCCTGAAAGACATGGTAGATTGGGTGTCATTTAGATGGAAGGAAGGAACTTGTTAAGTGGGAACAAGATGATCTGAAGGTGTCTGGTGCCTGGGGAGGCATCGTTATACTGATCTCTGATAAGAAGCATCTGCCACCAGCACGCCAAAGATTGTGACCTCTGTCTAGCTTTAGAGGAAGAACGGGGCATGTTTAGACCCGCTGGGCAGCTGGACCTTGAAGAATTCAGAATTAGGCCACAATCAGGTAGGACACTACAGTTAAAGTCTCAGGGTAGCCACCGAGAGTCAGACTCCACTTTTTTTTTTATCGGTTTGTCTTAGTCTCTTGGGATCCAACTTCAGGTACAGCAGCCTAGAACTGAAAGAGTGGCAGCAAAATAACACTTTTTTTTTTTTTTTTCACATATGACATCTCTGCTTTTTGTCTTTGTTTGTTTTCTCCATTTCAAATCACACCCTCTGTCCTGGGGCAGCATTCAGGCCTGTAAGGGCCCGTTCAGTCGTTTTTTTTAGTACCACCCTTCATGTCTGCCGGTTTGAGATGTGTATTTCTTGAAGTATGCCTGGTATGTTTGGTTTGTTACAACAAAGCAGATTGAATCTGCCCTCGTAATGACAGCTGAAATGCCCAATCTTACCCAACGCGAGTTGGTATTGTCTCCCATCAAACTTTTTTTTCCATACAGGTGAACTAAAAACATATCATCTGTTTGTTTTTCTCAGGTTGAATGGATCACTTCCCAATAATATTGAAATCAAGAACAACACCCTGTTCTTCAAAGGCCCGGTGACCTACGAGCTCGGAGGAACGTATGTCTGTGACGCCACCAATAGCATCGGCACACGCTCTGGATTGGTAGAGGTCAACGTGACGGGTAAGTTGTGGATGCTTATCCGAGATTCTGTGCGTGTGTGTGTGTGTGTGAGTGTGTTGGGGCTGGGAGAGCTTTAACCATGGGCCCAGGCGATTGTAGCTCCAGAAATGTGAGTTTTGTTGGAGGTGAACATTTCATGTAGGCCATACAGCATGTCAACATGAGCCAATGAAACTAGAATCCTTTATTACACAAACTTATTGAACACTCTTCATCAAACACACAGATACGGTGACCACAAAAAGTATTTGAACACTAAAGCTAAGGGATTTTCGGAGCCCCGGTGATCATCTTGAAAGGGATCCCATTCCTAAAATATAAAGCCAGCTATGTATAAAGACCTACATGTTTATTATAATGTAAATATATATATTTGTATTTTTCTATATAATTTTGTTCTCTAATTAAAACCAACTTTCAAAGGTGATCCTAACACATTACTTTTTTGTGATAGTTTAATATCAGACATTTGAAGTGTGGCTTAGTGTCAAAATACTTTTTTGCTGCGTTCTGCATGTTAAAGTCTGCACGTGTGTGTATCTATCTATATATATATATATATATATATATATATATATTTGCACTGTGCTGCTCCTGTGGCCTCCTACCTGGAAGTACATTGGTCTATTGGTACAACCTGACAGCGAAGAGGAAGAAAATGCTGTCATTTCCTTTTCTTTAATTTCTCACAGTCACATCATACATCAAGCTGCTAGCACCCACAATATTCCCTCACACACACACACACACACACACACACACACACACACACACAGAGACAGATGCCGAGATAAAGAATAAAGCGCCCTGTCATTTTCTCCCCAAAATAACATCACAGTTTTGTTGCCTCTTTAGTATCGATCACAGGCACTTTGCAACAAACTCACATTTCTCCAAGCTACTTTCGTCTCCCACATATTCTCCGTCTTCTCCGCCTTTTTCTCGGGTGAAAACAAGAAGTACAAATGAAAACAGAGCAAAACTGGAGCCGTTCCTCTGTCTAATTGTCATATCAAACACCTGTAGTTCACTAGTCTGCCGGCTTTGCAATACATTAAGAACAAAAGACGATAATGAAAGGAGGTGATGTTGCTCTAGATTGCCGAGCAGAACCTCAAAATTGGTCCAATATTTGAAGAGAGCGTAGGCATCTGCAGTTTTGTTCTGATAATAGCTTGTACGCCTCTCTCTTTGCTTCAATAGAGAGCTTCTAACGTGCATCGCTTTGCATGCTGGAGTCAACGGCTCGGCTTTTCTCTGTCGTTGCATTTATTTGTGCGCGTGGGTGTGTTTGAGTGTAAACTTTCAGACCTTCCTCGTCCCGCGGCGTCTCAGCTGGCGTTTCTGGTGATGTGTTGGGGATGCGGTGATGTCATCTCGCTCCGTGACAGGTTTTGATGATACGCTCCGCAGGCATGGGCAAAACGTTAATGGAAGTCTGAATGGCTGAGATTGAATGAGGAGTGGTGAAGGAAAATATTCTGCAGGCAGGAAATGTCTGCCGCTGATGTGTATAGAGCATCTCTGCTTTGGAAGAGATTCTGTTGATCGTTTCCAAAATTGCAATGCAGCGACTGGTGAGGGTTCAGGAGTAGGTCACGATGCGAGTTGACGGAACTTTGGTACTTTGCAGTGAAACATTTGATTGGTCTTTTTATAGCTTAGGAGACTTCTTTGAGTTATCCGTTATATTCCACTTAAAACTCAACTTTGTCTCAAATGAATTGAGACAATTGTTGACATACATCAACCCTAAAAGCCTACTGTCATTGATCATGTTTGATGTGCAAAGGCCCAAAAAATGATCAAAATTATCAAAACGTTTCCAGAAAAACTGCCCCACAATAAAAAAAACACAGAGCTGAGATCATAAAACTCAGCACTTAAATATCATCTTAATAAGATTGTTATATAAAGAGAGACATATTTATGATAGTTATATGCATTGTATGTAAGTAGTCTGCTAAACTGTTATAAAGATAGCATTGATTTACGTTTCAAGCTATCAGAATTTCATCGTACTTTTTGACCATATAAATATCAGCATATTTTTATATTTTTTAGCATGTTTTTTCCTCCATATGAGTATGAGCTCCATATTCTCCTATATATCATACTATATGAGCCATAACATCCTGATTTATCAAATATGATACTCAAGTCTTTGATTCAGGATTAATAAAATAGAGGTATGAAATGAATGTTGAGAGTATATCTAAGAAAATGTGGTCTTTGAGTTTGGTGATTGAATTTATATCGACATCTCTAACTTGATTGCTATTTTGTTGCATGGGAAATCTGGGAATAGTTTGAGACATCGCTGAGATCTCTTCTGAAACTGAAAAGACACATGCATGTGGAGTCATTTTCTTAGGAAACAAATTCTAGAAGCAGGAAACTTGAGCAAAAGTAAAAAAAAAAAAAAACCTATTAAATACATCTCATTTGTGAAACACCTTTCCTATGGGTTCAGACAACGCAATTTTCATAAAGTTGCACGTCTCCTCTTCTCTCCTTCTCGCTCGCCAAAGGTCACTAGCAGAACATGCACTGAAAGCCTAATTTGTTCTTTCCGACCTCTGTTTGGCAATGCCTGGGGATTGTTTCCGCATTGCATGTGCCCATTTGATGATAGATCCCTCCTCTACGGCAATGTCTATCCTTTGATGGATCATTCCATCCAGAGGTCGTTGAACCTCTATCTGTTTGTAGTAGACCTCACAGATATTGACGGATCAAAATGATACTTATGAAGAAAGATTGTTAGTGTGATGTATCCAATACGTGTGTCATTTTTTCATTTTTGTGTTGCGTAAGTAGCAAGACATCACAATAAGACCAGGAATGTGCATTGCGAAAGTGATTTTTTTTTTTTTGTGGGGAGCCGAACAATGAGAGCAATTTCTGGGAAATAGTCATAAGTTTTGCCGTTTTTGTCCGGTGCCGCCAGGGGTGCAGAAATGACACACTGCAGCTTTAAATATTCTATACGCCGTGCTTGTCTGCAGTGCTTAATCTTTCAATTCCATCATGCCTTTTTTATGAGTTCATTATAGTTTTATTTGTAGTCACAACTTCCATGGCAGCAGCTGTTCCCCCTTTATGACTCCATATTAATCTCATTCACATTCCTGTGAGTATTTCATTAATAACCATGACTGAGATATTCGGCCTACGCACAGCGCACTGAGAACTGTAGTCGCTGTGAAGCTTGCAGCAGAATCATTTGTTTTTAAAGTTGACATGAAATCAAAATGGACCTATTTACTTCCGCAATGCACATTCCTGGTCTTATTGTGATGATTCATCTCTCCAAAAATGTTTTTTTTTTTTAAGTGTATTAACTTGCTCTGCCTCGGAAACGACTTTACTTTTTGGCTGACATCTCAAACCGCTCTTACTTTTTAACCCTACAACCATCTGGTTCCATTCTGGTGTGTAACGGCTACTCCAATCAATGCCCGATGGATAAAATCAAGTCCCACACTACTTATTTTTATGGATGAGTATCTTGACTCAGACATGCACGAGGTTGCAGAAGTAAAATGGGTTGCAAATGGCTCATGGTAACTTTAAGGGAAGTTTTCATGCACTGGTCTTGACTTTACACAACGTGTTTTTTTAGGCTACACTGTAAAAAATGTCTAACCTCCCAACTCAAAATTTTCTAGTGACTGGTCACATCTAAATTTTTCAATTGGCCCAAGTGAAAATCTGCTAATTTAATTTGATCAATTTGGAGAATTTCACATGGACCAATTGAAAAATGTAGATGTGACCAGTCACTAGAAAAATTTGAGTTGGGAGGTTAGATTGTTTTTTTTACAGTGTAGTTAAAAGAAAACATTTTAAATACACTTTTAAGTGTTTATTTATTTGTGTATATAGATTTCAAATACATATTTTTAGAGGCCGTTTTCTCAAAAGGATTTTTTCAGAAATATCTGCTTAGATACACCAGTCTTTTCCGTTTTAATCATATCTATATTTTTACCGAGCAGTTTGTTTATATATCATTTGCCCGAACAAACAAAACCTAAACATGGTGATTTTTTTTTTTTTTTTTTTTTTTACAGTATTTTCTGATTTATGGAGTGATAAAAAAGAGAAACCCAAAATCCCATCTGTAAAAACCTTTGACTCTCGACCAAAATGAAAAAATAATAATAATAATAATAACCTGGCTTTTTCCAGTGTTCAGATTTATGTTCTGGAAATGGATGCAGAGAACCCAAGCCTCTACGTGACCGGCTCCCACATTGAGTATTTTATAAAAAAAAAAAAGTCTCATTTGCATATTTAACATAACGTTTCAGATTTTCTTTTTTTTAATTCTTAATGTAATCAATCAACTGGGGAAGTATGGTGATATCTATTAGTTACCGTTTTACCTTATTCACCTGGAATGTCTTACCGTAAAGTGCAATTGCATAATCTAATCACATTCGGTCCAGATTCAATGCAGAACCATATTGACTGTCTGTAAATATTCACCGACACGGCTTTGCGGTCCCTGTAGTTTTGTACCGCCGCCTGCATGGCCAAAAAACGAGATGCTAATAAGGCTTTCCCATCTGTCCTTATCATGGCTAGAGGGAAACCTCTCCACGGAAGAGCACATATGGGCTATTACAGCCTCATTCTCATGGCAGGAGTGGAAATGATACCTCTGGCAAAAGCAGCGCACTCAAACACTGTAAAACCAGTGTTCTGTGCTCATTCTGCTCCACACACATCGCCCCTTAAAAGGTCCGCGTGAGAACCGAAGCCTCCACGTGACCGGCTCCCACAGTAATGGCAACTGAGGCGTCTGTGCCAGAGGGACGCAGCTTACGCCGAGCAACACATCTCTGCCCTGGCTTCTTGTGAACCGCATAAGCGGCTGTCCATTGTTCGCCCGCCTGCACCTGGGAGAGGGAGGGTTTTTGTGTGTGGAGAACGTGGCAAGGCTGGCACGCGTTTGCAGGAACTTGCAACAGCTGCATGACTGTGTGGAAGTG